TTGCATATTCATAAATTATTTAAATTTTATATTTATTGTATATCGAGAATAATTATAAATTATTAACTATATTTTTTAATTATTTAAATCTTATATTTTTATAATATTGATATTATATTATTATACTATTTTATATTTAAGTAATAAACTTATTTTGTTATATCAAATGATTGTGTATAATTACATCAGATTAAGAATTATTAAAAATAATAAAAGAAGAGAAGATTCTTAAAGTACTTTAACATGCAAATTTTCATACAAAATAAAATATAGAAGAAAATTTTACACACATACATTTTTACATTTATATTCAAAAATAGATCTATTCCTTTCAGATGTAAATAGATTTTATTCTAAATTCTTTATTATAGTGTAACTATTTATTTTTCCTTTTTTTCCGTATAAAAAAAAAGAAAAAGATGCACTATGCAAGAAGTTCAATTAAAAAGAACAGACCTATTGATACAAAAGACGAAGAGAATCGATGATATACATAAATGTCACGCTACCTTTATATTCACTGCCGGAAATACAAGAATATTAAATTCATCTTCAATAATTATTTCTTAATTTTGTCATCTTTATTGATTAAATTGCAAATGAACATTCAATTTTTTTCATCGCGCATTTAATGTTACATAATTATCTTATTTTCTTGCTTTAACGGAAGATGTATTTGTCATGTTAAGAAAACAATTCAAAATGAAGTAATCACATTTAACGTTAAATAAGAATGCTTATGGGAGTTGACTACTTTTATACAGGAAGTCCTAAATCTAATAAAAAGATATTTTAGAGATACAGATTTTCTTTGATAAAGGATCCCGTACAAAACCACGTGTTCTTGACTCTCTGTGAAATGGCTGAAATGTTATAGGTCCCTCTGTGAATTGGCTGAAATGTTATATCTTGACTTACTGGTCAAGTTTTCTTAGACACAAAGCTTAAAAATGGCTAGTTTTTTTGCTACAGCCGTTTGAAATTATATTTTATTATTGTTCTTGTAACGTTCCAAATCGGTTTTTTATAATAAATCGAGAGATTTTTATCTATTATTATCATTATTATCTAAAATCTCTTGATTTATTATAAAAAACTGATTTGAAACGTTATAAGAATAATGATAAAATACGACACTTCAAACAACTGTTGAAGCAAACTAGCCATTTTTTAGCTTTGTGAAACTAAAAAAAGTTCAGTAAGTCAAGAATAACATACTATAACATACTAAAATTTCAGCCAATTTCAAGAAGGCCAAAAACACGTGGTTTTGTGCGGGGTTCTTTATCTTTACGTAATACAAATTTTCAGGAAAAGAACGATTAATTATTAGTATTATTAACTAAGATATTGATATTGAAATAAATACATTTCTGTGCGCAAAAAATGAGTTTCACAAACATAAAAATTCATTCATCAATTGAGAATATAATTTCAAGTTCAGAAGAAAATATCTAAATATATATTTAACAATTGCAACTAAAATATTTGTTACTTGACTACTATATAAGACGACTTGTACACATGTTGTTTATATTTAACTATTTTCCTTTTGATTTTTTAAATATACAATCAGATGACAACATTGAAGAAACGTAACAATGCGAACAGTTTGGAATTCAATCTCTTGTACGACAGTGAGTTATGAGAAAATTTACACAATCAAAAATCTATAAAAATAGATGTCTTATACGTTGATATTAAAGTAATCAAAATTAATAGGTATCATTTATTTAGCATATGATATTGCTAGACACATCTATCTACTATAATTAGTAGCATAATTTCAATGAGCGTAAATTGAATTAAATTAATGAAAATTACATCAATTTCAATTTCTATTTAACACTCTTTAGAATATTTAGTTATATTTGTCGAAATGTGTGTGTGTAAGTGCGCGCGTGCGTGCGCGCACGCACACACACACACACACAGAGTGTTCCGAAAGTCGCTTTATTAACATATTATTATTATAGCAATATTAATAAAAATTTCTTTTAATAGACTGTTCTTGAAAAAGATGATCTTCCTTAGATGATCTTTCTTAAGATCATTTAAATGGTTAAATATATGAAAATCATATGAATATAAATATTGAAAATATTTAATGAGATAAATATGCTATTAAATATGTACATTTTTAATACTATATTTTATAGTTTTTTTTCATTGCATTATTCCAACAATCATTTTTTAAGATATTTTTAAAAATTAAAAATCAATTTGTGTAAATCACGTTAGCTATGATGATTTAATTTTAATATTTATTTTTTTAACAAGAAAAATGTCGAGTTTTATTAAACTGTAGATCGTTATTCTTAAAAAAATATTAACTAATATTAGAAGAGTTTAGTTTATCTATATATGCAAACTTTTAGAAAACTTTTAAAAAAATTTTTAGAAAAAAAATAGCTAATAAATTTGAAAGAGTGATAGCACATTGCATCTTAGAAAACAAAAATATTCGAGAAATATTTTCAAAGCGACTTTTAGAACACGCTGTATATATGAATTGTGCCATTTAATAATCGTTCCGTTCACGAAGAAAGTATATGGCATTATGAATGTTGAGCATGATATATATGAAAATTTCATGCAGACAGTTTGCAGATCGATACACTTTAAAGTACATTTTAAAATCTGTTTTTACGCTTGCTCCAATTCGAGTTAACAATCGAAATGACTGCGATTGTTAAGTGTGGATAAATTGTGATAAGAAAAGAAATGAAATGCATTCATTGCGTTTCAAGTTTGAGAGCAGGACAAATTTCGTATTAAATAACTATAATTAATAGTTAAGTCTATTATTTTAAGTTGTATTCCTCTTTTGCAAAGTTCCTCACATTTTCGTCATATTATATATAGTTTATTTTTTTGCGTAAATTCGACTCTAAGTTTAAGAAGACGAAGGCATCGTCTATTGTAGATACTCCTTCTCTATATGTGTGTATGCATGCATATATGTATGCGTGTGTGCGCTGTGTAATGTATGTATACACACACACACACACACACACACACAAAACACATTTAATATATATGTATTAAATATTGGGAAAAAAATGGTTAGTAGCAACTTTGTGTATAAATTCTTCCACATGAATGTGATACT